TACTTAGCTAAAATGGTTTATTTTATTATTTAAGACTGGAAAGAGATTGATTACCAAGATCAATCACATTTTTTTATAACATAAGAGATCTCCATTGAAATCCTAATAAGGTGCCACAAAATGAGGGAACAGATCGATACATGCCTATTTGGTTTTGTGCAATGACATAAAAAAGATTTATCTCTTTAAATGACTAATTACATGTAGAGCGGTTAATATGGGCTAGGCCTGTTGGGTCGGCCAGGCATAACCCACGATTTAATAAAGGTGGGCTACGGTTATTGGATCCTATTTGAGAAAAGAGTTATTTTGTCTGGCTTGAATAAGTCTGCTGATTTGTGGGGCTTGAGAAATATCGGTAGGGTCGGCCCGTGGGCCAATAAAAAATAATTAAAAAATATAATATAATATTAAAATTTAAAATTAAAGAGAGTCCAAACTCAAAACAATTAGGTTAATATTTTTATTTAGATTTTTATAGTTTTACTTGAAAAAAAACTTAATAATATTATAAAGATAATTTTATTTGTAAATTTGATTAAAAAATAGTAACATTAACATCATATAATATTGTTTTGTCGATATTTATGATAATATTTAAAAATTATAATATATAATTTAATTTAATAATTTTAAAAATAATATAATTTTTTAAAAAGTGAGCTGGTCTGACAAGCCTGTAGCCCACGTATTTGTAGATTGGCCCACACTAAAAATGGGCTAGCCCGGTCTGACCGTAAAATATCGATACCTGTATGGATTAGTCCGAATGAAATGGGCTAGCCCATATTGATAGCTCTAATTAGATGCTTTTATTGGGAATACAAGTCTGTTAGAAGTCAATGCAAATTTTAAACTTATGCTTTTCATACCATATAGGAGTGTGTATATATATAATCGAAATCGTACATTATCTTTATCAGTTTTTTTTAATCTCTTTTCTCTAATTTTTTTTATCAAGTTTCGATATATTATATATGAAATGAACGTACGGTATATTATACTTGTAGAATTACAAAATATAGTGTTAAGTTTTTTCACAAAATAAACATTTTACTACGAATTATAGAAAGCTTTTATATTGGAATTCTTTAAGTAATTAAGGAAGTATTCTCTTGCTATGCACTAATTACAAAAAATGAGGGGAAATGCATGCAGTTCACAAGTCTAGTAACTTGAAATTATATTTAACTATTCATTTCAGCCATAAATTGAAATAATGTCTTTTTAAATTTGAATTTTTAATTGTAATTTTTGAAACTTCAAATTATGTTTGTACATACATTTTTTTATTTTTTTGAAGTTTTTTAATCAAAGGACATGAAATATCTCCCGAACATAGATCTTAACTAATATTTTGGAACCTTGATTTTTTTTTGTGAAAATATATATAATTTCATTATCTAATAAGGTTTTACGAGCAAATAAATATTTAAAAATTTGAAACAAAACCTATGACCAGACGTTAGCTTAATTTTAAGAAGTCCAAAAATTCAAAGGCAGCACAAGTCATATTAATCCAAGATTGACAAATGTGTATAAGAGAGAGATTTAGAGTTACGTTCTTCACATTTCCACTCTCTCTATATATATCCTATTTAATTAGAGCTAATGTCTAATGACAATGACAAATGAAGAAATTACATACAATTTTCAATGATTAAGTTTTCCTATTAGTAGAAAGAAAATTAAGCAAGATTCTTACTTATACCTAGGGTTCAAAATTCAACATAGTGGATAAGATAATCTGTGACAAATGAAGAAATTACATACAATTTTTAGTGGTTAAGATTTCTATTAGTAGAAGAAATTAAGCAAGATTCTAATTTAATTTAATTTATAGGCTTCAAAATTCAAACCTGGATAAGACGATTACTGACGAAATGCAACCACTACTCCGTATGAATTTTTAATTAGTTTCCTGCCAAGTGTATGGTATCTACAGTGGAGTCTGATAAAGTCTGGATTCATGTCGAAAAATCACAAATTAGGATAAAGCATTACCTAAAAAAGACGCATTTGTATGTAAGAAGACTCAAACCCGAAACATCTAATTAAGAATGAAGAATTATTTACTATTCCGCCATAACCAGTGATGGTTATGTATCTATTGGCATTGGTTTCTCCAATTAAATGGTTTGGGAAATAATGAATGATTTGTTTTCGAGTAAATTAAACAAAATAACCCTTCGATTATTGATTTAACCGAAAATGACTTAACTATTACTTTACTACTAGATATAGCAACGTAATCACTTAATTTTTCTCCTTCGTCCTCATTTGTTTTCTCTATTGCATTTCTTTATAATCTATATCAAATACGTGAATCGATTTGAATGAATAATAAATCAAAAGAATCGAGACATGAAAAAAAGTTTATACCTAAAATTTGAATTGTTGATTATTGAAAGATCTGATTGTCCATTGAAATATCATTTATGAAGAACTTTTTTTTTTCATTGAAGAGCTTCGTACTATAAACATGAATTATTTTGAGTGAATTAATAAAAAACTCGAAACATTGAGATGAACTCATATCTAAAATTTATGACTGTTTAAAGGAGATTTAAGCCGGTCGGAATTGAAATGATAACTTCAGCTCAAGAAGATGGGTTGCTACAATATATAAATATTACTCTACATAACAAAGTATGTGAATATATATACATAGGCATACATTGTATATACATACTATAATTATACATTCTTTATACAATAAAAGTACATTTCATATACATACGACCATTAAGCTAGATAACAATCTTTTGCTGTGGGGTACATTTATGCAAAAAGATCGTTATTTTTCCCTTAATACTAAAGTGATTAATTATCACGTATAATTTAAGCCAACTCAAAGTCAAAAGGCAAAAACCACAAACACGAATGAAGAAATAAACCTCTTCAATTTGTAGACTCAAACTCGAGTCGAGACATATCTATATGTATTGTTTGAGGTGTTTAAAATGAATATCTTTTAGTTAAGATGTTTAAATAAAATATCGTATTAACTTTAGAGGATTATCAATGGAAAACCATAGGACATCGACATGCTAGTAACCATATTTATAAATAAAAGTTTACCTATACATATATTTTTTTTCATCTTACAAGTAAGATGATTATATATGTGAGTATATGTAAGAACAATTTTCACATATAGCAAATACAAAATTATATATTTGGATGTTACAGTTATATTTTTGAATAATTGTGCTCCATAACAAACATAAATATGTATATTTCATTATACATTTACAAAAAAAAACATTGTATAAAAACTGTTTGTGTTTCGATAAACATATATAAAAGATCAATTGTATAATCTGTTGTATAAAACGAGAAAGAGAAAAGACAAAAGAAAACTGGCCAGAGAAATATTTGTATTGTATAATTGTAAGTGTATAAGAAGAAGATATATATCTTTGCATGTGTATATAGAATTTTCTCTCGTTTTATACAAACAGAAACACAATTTATACATTTATTTTCTGTTTGTATAAGTGAGAGAAGCGAGGGTGGTGAGCAAGATCTGGGAGAGTGGCGTGCGAGATTTGTGAGACGGGAGAGATGAGAACGAAAATATATGTGTATATATAATTTTGTCTCTCTTTATACAAACAAAAAACGAGAGAGGCGAAAGAGAGAACGAGAGTGTCGAGCGAGATTCAACAGGAGAGACAAAATAGCAATAGTTTGCTATACAATTAAATTAAATTATGATTATACCATTTGATTTGAATAAATAGTTTGCCATTATATATAATTTTCTTGTATGTTTATATAATTCAAACTCGATAATAATATGCCAAAACGGTAACATGAAGAAATTAATTAAACAGTTGAACAAACACAAGAATGACAAGTTTACGTGGACATATTTATTCTTCGAATAGTTATTGTTAGGTGGTGATATATAAATAATAACAAGGCACTAAATAATGGAAATCATATCAATGTTTTACCTACCACAAATGAATTTGTAATAGTTTTTTTTTTTTTAAAAAAAAATTAAGGTGCACCACTCACTAAACTTTTGTGAGGTAATTAATTAGGTATAACTATATTTTAATTTCCACATGTATATATATATATATATATATATATATATATATATAACAAAAAAAGTACAGTTGTCATCATTTAATTGAACATCATAACATAAAAATTACTAGCACAGTATCATACCTTTCTCGTGTCTTGGAAATCTATTTTACATTTTAATTACTTGGATCAATCGATACATCTTTTCATTTTTATTTGTTCAGTATTAGTATAATATATTCCTTAAATAAATAGAATAATAATTTATTATATATCTTTTTAATTATAATAAATTTAGTGTATCGAAAAATTCATTATAAAAGACTATAGCTATTAATTAATAATAAATTATTTCTTCATCTTTTTAATCGAATAAGTAAAAATAAATATTTGTTTTAACATAGCGAACGAATAAAAAAAAATCACACGAACAAACAATCCCACACCCACACAAGGTACACTTAATGGATTAAAGTTCACAAAAAAAGTTAACTAGAACCCTAAATAATTTGGTGCCTTATATATTTGGTGATTTTACATGCATAATTAAAGTTCAAATTCAAATTAAAAGTCATAAAAAATAATCATCATTTCATCCAAATTCAATATTTTTAAAATGCAACATAAATTTCTATATATTAAAAAAAATCCATTACAATTAAGATAAATAATAAGTTTGAAGAAATAATAGATATTCAACATCTGAAGATTAAATTCATAAAATTTAAATCCTGAATTCATAAAATTTAAATTCTGAATTCACTTGACAATATATATTGTATTAGATGAAAATAACAATATAATGTTACACTTTGAGAAGAGAAAAAAAAAAAGAAGGGAAGAAGATAATCAACAGTAAAAGATAAAATTACATAAAATAAAAAGATTAGAGAAATAATTACCTGAGATAAATGAATGTAATTGAGAATTAAGTGAAAATTAAAAGCCCCCCTTTTTTTTCCTTTGTGTGTATTGTTGGTGAGTGATTGAAGCTGCTAGATGACCTGATGGAACCAAAGCTATCTATCTATATTTTCTTCAAAGAAATAAAATCCTTACAAAAATTTAATTTTCTTTTTTTCAAATCCAAAAGAAGGAAATTAAAAACCTCAACATTTTTTTTTTACAAAAAATTCAAATTTAAATTCATTTCTTCTTTTTATAAGAAAATATAGATGAAATATAATAGGATTTTGTTCTTACCAGATCATGCTGGCAGCTTTAACCTCTCAAAAAACCAACATACAGAAGTGAGACGGAGTTAGAATTTAAAGTTTATGCATTCTGATCTTGCGGACCGAAATAGATTCAAGAAATTAAAAAGCAAAAAAATGATAGAACAAATGGTATGACCTATTTGAGGAAGCATTTTAAGGTATATAAGAAAAGTGGGGCATTTTCTTTCTCTTTGTGGGGTGGGGTGGGGGTGGGGTGGGGTGATAGGGGGGTGGGGTTGGGAGGAAGGATGCCCTATAGTTTATGCAACATAACATATACACAAGAACCATGCAGGGTTTTGCAGTATACCTGTCGTGAATATAATCTATTATATATACATAAAAAAGTCATCTAACTCGATCGAACTCGATAGACTTTGGATATTTTCTTACAGCTGTTGACATTGACTTATTGCCTCCCTGTCCTCTTCTTCCTTGTCTAGTTTCTAATTGAGTAATTTAATTTTAAAGAAATGGAAAAAGGAACCACAAACTTTTATGTCATGTATAAAACTTACCATTAATTAGTTCCTATAATTATAAGTTAGTTTATATTAAATTTAGTGGTCCATATATATTTGATTAAAACTAAAATGTAACTGGCCCATTATATAGTTGCTATAGTAGATTTGAGTTAATTGAAATTTTGGACCACTAAGATTATGGGTCTCTGCTGGTTTAGTCCCTTTAATATTTGGTTAATAATAATTTCACCATCAAATTCTACATTAATTAACCATGATTTCATGTATAATTTGTTCTGTGAACCAAACAAATGACTTTCATTTTCCCCCCCTTAGAATTATCTAAAAATGAAATATTCATTTTCACACGCAACTTTTTTCTTTCTTTCACTTGGTATTCGATAATCATATTAAAGTTTGACTAGATTTAGATTCATATTGAGAACTAAGAAGTTCCAAATTGGGGTAAAATACTCCATAAGAAAGACAACTCTATATGCAAGGAAACTCAAACTCGAGATCTCCAATCAAAGATATGAAGGAGTACTTAATTAGCACTCCACACCATTAACCCTTCTTGTCCGGATTCGTGTCGGAAAGTCTCAATATTGGTGGGTAAATTGTAAAATGTTCCTTTACAAAGACAACTCCATACTCGAACCTGAGATCTCCGATCAAGGATATGTGAAGGAGTATTTACCACTCCCCACAACTGTTGTTGTCCGGATTCATGCCGGAAAGTCCCACATTGATGGCTTACGCATTACAAAAGACGACTCCATATACAAAGAGATTCAAACCCTTAAGAATTCAACCACAACCATCGTTGTTCATACACCAATTGATAGGTGCTAACGACATTTGTAATGAAAAACATAATCCTCCCTGGCTTCAATATTTCAAAAAAATACTTGTCATATTTCACTTTTTTTTGAAATACAGATTACATATATAAATATTGATTGATACATATGTATATAAAACATGTGTTTTTTATAAAAGTTTTTAATTAAATAATTGATCAAAATTATTCTCCAAATTATGATTTAAGATACAAGTAGGGTCAAATGAAAGACAAGCCAACAAAATGCATGTGATGAAGTCTTAAACATTTAATAGCTAGCGATCGTGAAATCTCTACATTCAAAATCCATAATAATAATATTATCGTAACAAGTACGATTAATAATTTTATCGTGATTATAAATTTTACTATACGTGATTATATTTTGATCGTTATTTTTAATAATTCTACTCTAATTTTATTATGAAAATAATCATTTATAGCTATTTATAAGTTAAATAATTTCCCTCTTTTTTTTTTTTTTTTTTTTAATATACAAACCCAAAGATTTCGTATAAATAAATATAAGTTTATAAAACATCGATCTTGAACATATTTATAGCCGCCTAGCTAAAACAGTCAACTTACCTTATTTCTTTTATGGGTACTATATTGTACCAGTTTTGTGAAACAGACCAATAAATAACAATGTATAGTTCTTTTTAAAAAAAATTTATTTATTAAGGGTTTGATATTCATATTAAATTCTGGTTAGTTCAAGTTTAGATTGCATAAATAATGTACACCCCATTTAGGGAGGAATTGCTCTGTATTGCTATAAATAGTTAATGAATAAAACTATCATTAAATTATTAATTATTTATCAAAAAATACTCAAAATAACTTTTTCTCTCTTTTTCATATTCAGCTCAAAATTAAAACTCTGATAAAGATAAAAGTGTGAATTTCATGTGTTCCTAATTACTTATTCATATTTTCTTTTAGTTATTTGTAATTATTTATCCATTTTGATAAATTAATAAAAGATAACTTTATTTTATCTATTATACTCTAATTTATTTTTTTTTGAAAAATGTAGAACTTATTAAAATTCTCAAGTTTTTAATTCATCAACTTCATAATTAATAGAGTAATGGTAAATTCACTATGTTAATTATATTATTTTCTTAATAAGTGTGTCAATTCAAACTGAACAAGTAATTAGTGACAGAAATCTTTTTTACTTTTACTATGGAGTTGTTTGATGTAAGGCATAAGCTGGTATCATAATCTCCGAACAAAATACAGGACTATATGTTATCTTTCATTTGGTTAGAAGTATAAGACAATCCTCGATATGGTGTAATTTAGTTATTTCATATGCATACTGAAATAACTTATCACGATATAATTAATTTCAAAATACTAACTTATTTTCAATCAAATGGTCTCTCATTAAATCTAAATCACAAATTTAAAACTCTTGTTTTAAAAAACTTTTTTTTACCATGAATTTGTTGTGAATATTATTAAATGGGTAATAACTACTACCTTTGGTCCACTTTGTCCTCAAGTCTTTATAATTTAGATGAGAATATAAACGGCGCATGCGTAGTTGTGGGCACATGGAGGGGATGGTCCTTCTTATATTACATGTTGTTTTCACCAATCTGTCCATTTTTTTATTTATTTATAACATAAGACAATTTTCAAAAATGCTTCTATTTTATTTGTGGACCCTTTCAATTCTAAGAGATTTTGCATTTATATCATCACCTTCTTAGCTAACATTCCGACCAACTATGCAATAATATATTCAGTGTATGAGTATTATAAAGAAAAAAAAATATTTTTAAATTATCGTAAATATTATGTAGATATTTTCGATTTATTATAGTGTACAAATATCATAAAGAGAAAGAAAAATATATTTATAAATTATTGTAAATGGTATGCAGATATCCTCTGTCATATTTATGGGATATTGGTTCCTCTGTCGTTAAAAACGAGAATATATATGCGCTTTACTCTAACGAAAAACTAAATAGGAATATGTGACACAATCTTATCCGTCGATCTAATATTTTATAAATATCGAGACTTCGAATAAGATTATGACACGTGTGTATGTCAGTTAGTATAAGAAGTATATATGCTTATAATTTTTGAACGACGTGAACACTAATATCTCAAAAATATAACGAAAGATGTTTATATACTATTTACGATAATTTAAAAATATATTTATTTTTTTACCTTATCATAAAGTAAAATTTGAGGGTGATAGTGTATTTACCGACCTTATTTTTACCTCCAAAATGATGTAGAATTGGCGTTCCCAATATTATGATAAAGTATATATTGTCCCTTTAATAATATAGTCCCAACTCCAAATGGAGTATTAACTAAGGACGTTAAAAGGAAGGAAAAATATCTCTTGAAGGGGAAAATAAATGAGAATATGGATCATTAAATATTGTACCAAAAAATATTGTATATAGTAATTATAAGTGTACAACATTTTCACGTTATCTACATTATATGACAGTGCTGTTTGGATCTAGCACCAACTTATTATCAAAAATACGTATCAAGTATCAGGGTAACGTGATTAAAATAATATAAATTAAATAAAAAGTCTGAAATTTGAATTCTAAAATATAAATATATAACTTTTTAACATGAATCGTACTCTTTACCCCATCGATTAAAATATGAATTAATTAAGTCAGATAATAAATAATAGTGACCGATAATATTAGTATCACGTAACTTCAATTCAAAAAATTAGATATCAACATGCATTTATTAGATACTTTCTACTCTCAAGATAAAGACGAAATCTACATATACGGTATCTTTTCATATTCTATTTCGTGATATTATACTGAATATATTATCGTTGTTATCTATATTATAACATGCATGTATGTATTATTAGCCAGATTGGTAGAATCGAGTGAGGGTGTCCTTTTGTCTTTAGCTTTGGTGGTTCCTTTATGTCTTCTTTGATTGACAAACAATATACATAATTATTTTATTATATATATAAATAATATTGACAGACCCTAATGGAAGTGAAGGACCACAAAAATCTTTTAATAACTAATCTTATAATTTTTCTTTAATATTTGTTGTGATTAGTAGATAGATAGTCACATGGTTTTGCCTTGTAATTTAGTTGTTGAAAAAAAGTTGAAATATAATATTCTATTTTTATTAATTAAGGTTGGAGAGTTAGGTGGCTTTTGTGAATAAAGCTGTCTATTATTTATTTATTTATTTCTCTTTTTATTTTACCTTTAACATAAGAAACAAAATATAATAAATTAGGGTTTCTTATTTTCCTTTTTTATATTCCCTATGTTTTTATGGCTTTTTTTTTGTTAGGAGTAGGACTTTTCAGGTTTCTTCTGTTTTGTCCAATGGTTATACTTAGGGGTGGACATGGTAATAATATGGTAGATATCGATTATCGTATTGAAATTAATTTTTTTTATTTTGTAATATAGTTAGTATTGTCGTATTTGATACTAAATGTGATATTCATAACAATTTCAAAATATATTGTATATGTGATTTTTTTATATATTATTATAATATTAATAAATATGTAAAATAGTATTAATATAAAATTAACTATTTAGGACGTTGAAATTTTATCTCGATAGAAATGTCGTTTTGTATAATTGATTAACGATGAGAATTGCATGCTTACACTTTTTTTCTTGAATAGCTTTTATATGTATATGTAAGGTGCTATGCTTAGTATGATATAATTAAAATATTTT